GGCTATACAGTCTTAAGGTATGAAAAGCCTGTTAGGCTCATCACTGAGGATAATGATAATGTTGAAAACTGATGTTCTTTATACCTTTCCAGTTTAAGGACTGAAGTAATCCAGTTTACCAAAAAGGAATCCCACCTACTTTTTCTTACTTGTGGGATTCTGAATTCAGGTTGCAATATACAATCACACATTGTACTTTGCATAACTCTGGGAAGTTAGCATTCATTCTTCTTCTTCAGAGATTTTTGTATTTGTGATTTTTTTTTGGCAGATAGCAATAAAGTGCTTTGAAGAAATATTGTTTTTTCCTTATTTGCCTAAAGGTACTATTGAGCCAGTAGAAGTTTTGGTCTGAATATGGAATGATTAATGTAGTGCCATAGCCATCTTAAAAAACACAATCGTGTGCAATCACCACATCCAAAATATAAATACCATTACAGGAAAAGTCATCCAGTTTCTTTCACAGTATACAAAGGGGGCAAGACTTGTTAAATTAAGAGAGATTTACAAATCATCACCCAAACATTATAAACATCAGATGCAATGTTTGGATGCTAGTTTGAATAAATCATCTGTAAAAAGACATGTTTGAGACAATAGAGGAAATTTATCTTTAAAAATACAGGTTTAAGACAAACTGAGGAAATTTGAATATGTCTTGGGTATTGGATGATATTATGAAATTAGTGTTTTGTTACATGTGATAATAGTATGATTGTTTTCTAAAAGCTATATATATAGCTTTATTTATTTTTGAATAATTACATTATTTTTAGTTTCCAAGAAACATTCATACAAACAAAACAAGTGTAACGTTAGGGCAAAGGAATAACTTAAAAAATATTAAATGGTCTCCAATTCTATGTTCATGTGCAAACCATCACACATAAACACATACACACACACACACACACAATTTTTTTATTGAGAGTTGTAATGACACCCCAATCTAGTCATCTAGAAGAAATTCTGCTTTATGCCAAAGTAATGTAGGCCTAATGCCTCCACTTTATTTATTTTTTAAAATATTTTTTAAAATATATTTTATTGATTTTTTACAGAGAGGAAGAGAGAGGGATAGAGAGTTAGAAACATCGATGAGAGAGCTGCTTCTTGCACACCCCCTATTGGAGATGTGCCCGTAACCAAGGTACATGCCCTTGACCGGAATCGAACCTGGGACCTTTCAGTCCGCAGGCCAACACTCTATCCACTGAGCCAAACCGGTTTCGCTAATGCCCCCACTTTAAACCCCAAGTGTACCTGAGGCTGCTCAAGGTTTTTGTTTAAATACATTTAAATGAAGGAAAAGAAAAATAATTACTACATTAGAACACACAAGTATTAAGGATGCATATAAATCTGAAGTTGTTGAAGTGGGCTGTGGAAGAGTGTACACCAATATTCTAGTGGCCTGAAAAGAAATAATGAAAAAGAACATGAAACCTTTAGGACTTAGTACAAGCAAACGCTTTTTACTTGTAAGTACTTGAGGCCTGATGGTATTTACCACTTAAAAATTCCTTTAACTTTGATTTTTCAGGATAATGACAGGTAGTTGAATCTGTTTAGTTCTCTATTCAGTAAATTCATGGGTAGTTTATCTGCACAATTCATCCAAATTAAAACCAATAAAGACTAATATAGAACAACTGTTTTGAATACAGGGAAAAGGTATTTATTTATTTTTTTTAAATTACCCAAAAATGTTTAGGGCTTGGATTTTAAGTTTGTTATATAGATTTATTTATGGTATCTAAGACAATCATTTTTATTCTTATTCTCAATTAATGAATTACCACCCCCACACTAAAAGTTGCCAATATAATGCTTTCTTTCAGTGGAGTCATTTGTTTCCATACTTGTATACACTATCATTTCATCATCAGAATATATTAGAAATGTTTGACAGATAAAGTTGTAGAACATAGCCACTAATTTGTAGCACCCTGATAGGTTTATAAAAATGTGAATCCATGGGAGATAGGAATGAAACAATCTTCATTCCTTTTCCATTTGTGGCTTTGTTCAGAAGAACATCTAGAAGGTCTCCTGGTCTAATTAGCACATTACTCTTTAATTAGTATAGATGCTTATCCATTTTTTTTTTTTTTAGATTTCTCACCTATACCTAATTTAATCAAATTTTAGCTGTATTAACAGTATTCTTAATACAATTAACCTAGTTTTCATATAAAACTGTATTTATAGTCACAGTTCAAGGGCTATTGAATATTTAATTAAATCACATAATTATCCTAATACCACAAACCGGTTCAGGGTTCAGTGGCCATGCTGCTCATTCCTTGCAAACATCCAGTTCATCTGCTGGGGCTATTCGAGAGCAACCTCCTAGCCACAGCCTTCCGAGTATCATGTCATGCCAGCATGTCCATTGGGCCAGTTTCATCAGGTGGTGATTGGTTAAGAGGCTGTATATGCACCAACAAACACTATGTAAAGTACTCTACTTGCATTATCACTTTAAATCCACAACAGTCCTAAAACATAGATATGTTAAAATGTTTTTCTTTGAGAATGCTGAAATATATAGATGGTAAGCATCTTGCACAAGAATACATAGATAATACATAACATGATCAGGATGGGAATCCAGGAATTCTAACTTGTATTTTACCACTTCATCATCCAAGGTTATCGAAGTTATTTCTCTCCAGAGCACTAGGCTTCACTTTGGTCCATGACCAAAAATGACACCTTTGAATCTTGACCTGTCATCTTCAAAATAGTGCTATGGCTAGGAAGGGAGAGCAATATAAACCCATCACTTGGAATAATTCCAAGGATTCAGTCTCTCTGAAGTCTCAACTCCATACATTTAAGACTAACCAAAATACTGTGTCCCTGTATTCCCTTCCTATTGCTGTGGTAACAAATTACCACAAACTTAATGGCTTAAAACAACACCAGTTTATTGTCTGTAGGTTAGAAGTGCGACACAGGTCTCTCTGGGCTAAAATCAAGGTGTTAGCATAGTTGTTACATTTTTTTTTCTGGGACTCGATATGGGAGAATCAATTCCCCTGCCTTTTCCAGCTTGTAGAGGCCATCATATTCTGTTTTGTGTCCCTCCTCCTCTCCATCTTCAAAGACAACAACACTGCATTCTTCCTCATCATTCATCCATAGTTAGATTTCTCTGATTCTGACCTTTTCTGCTTCCCTCTTGCACTTTTAGGGACCCTGTGATTACACTGGGCCCACCTAGATAATGCAAGCTAATCCCCCTACATTAATGCAAGGCTTAGAGCCTTAGATCAGTCTGTTCCTGTTCAGTTGTATCAGCTGTCTCTTTTCAATGGACATTATCAAAAGTTGTAAGTCTAAAAGCTTGATTTGTATGAGAAATCAGTCATAACTGAATTGTTTAATGTATTAAAAATGTCCTCTAAGTCCATGTAAATGGATCAACTGTATAATTAGATATAGAAACATTAAAGTCCTTTAATTTTTTAATAGTTTGAGATGGATATCGTCAGTCTCACCAAATACCACACATAGGTTTTAACAGAAGAACCTTGTAGTAGTATTAGTATCTGTTATCAGATGTATCTGATACTGAACAAAAATTAGTAATTTTCATTGAAACTGTCTATGACTCCTCCTGAATGTGTCATTTATTTAAAAAAATATTTTTTATTGATATTTTTACAGAGAGGAAAGGAGAGGGATAGAAAGTTAGAAACACTGATCATAGATAGAGTGTCGGCCTGCGGACTCAAGGGTTCCAGGTTAAATTCTGGTCAAGGGCATGTACCTTGATTGTGGGCACATACCCAGTAAGGGAGTGTGCAGGAGGCAGCTGATCGATGTTTCTCATCAATGTTTCTCTCTCGCTCCCTTTTTCTCTGTAATAAAAAATAAATAAATAAATAAATAAAATATACAAAAAGAAAAAAAACCAACATTGATCAGCTGCCTCCTGCACACCCTTGACTGGGGATGTGCCCGCAACCAAGGTTCATGCCCTTGACCAAAATCGAACCTGGGATCCTTTAGTTTGCAGGCTGACACTGTCACCTGAGCCAAACTGTTTAGGAATGAATGTGTCATTTTAAATGACTGAAGGATGTCAGTGGAATTGTGTGTCATGCTCATCCGGACCTGCTGTCCAGACACAGACTTTTTTCCTAATATATGTGAGATGGACACTGAATTTAACTGTTGTAAATAAATATCCCCTGAATGTTTTGTTTACCTACCATATTCGTTTAATAGGAAATGCTGAGTTGAAAGCACTGCCACTACACAAAAGCCACTATTGACTCAAGACTGTATATGCCATATGATGTAAGATTGCCAGCCCCTTAAAAACTTACTACTACACTTAAATTCCAGAAAGGCTATGAATTAATAAATGTTCATGATTTAAAGGTGGTAAGTTCAATAAGAAATTTAAAAGGGCTGTGATTGATAATGATAAACACCACTTAGCGAATGCCTATGTGCTGGCCTTTTATTGCATTATCTCATTTCATCCTCACAACCTTACATGGTAGATGGAATCTTTGCCCAGATAAAAGAACTGGATGTCAAAGGCTAAGTAACTTATTAGGCAACACAGAACTGGCAAATGTTGGAACAGAGGTTTGAAGCTCAATGTGTATCTCATTCCAAATGTGTTTTTATTCACTACTATATATATTTATTTTAAATTATGTTCTAATGTTTCCACTTTTACTTAAAAGCACAAAATTTTGTGGCATAACAGTTATATAACACACTAATGAAATTATTTTCTAAAACTTTTACAAAGGTAATCAAGGTAAACAAATGTAACATCTTTTCTTATTTTAGGTAAAAGGTTAATTATTTACATTAAAACTTCAGTTTCCTGAAGTTGAAGCAGGTCCTTGACTTGACAGAAAACCAAAGGTATCACTTAAAAATAACTGACTGAGGAAGACCTAACTTGAAAAGTTAAGAATACTTCTCTACATCTTTTAATAAGTGTTATTTATTATTTTTTGTCATAGGAGATGAATATGATGTATGTGCCATTTGTTTGGATGAATATGAAGATGGAGATAAGCTCAGAATCCTTCCCTGTTCCCATGGTATGAATAATTACATATTGCTTTGAATTGACATAGTAAATTTATATTTAGGTTCAATATTTAGAAGACAGAAAAATAGTTATTAGCACACCATAAGCCAGGCCCTGTACTACCCAGTATTATCTCATTATAAAAATTTACAAGCTTTACTTCTTTTGTCCCTACATGATGCATATAGATCAGAATAACATGGATAAACATGGTAAAAAGTTAAAAATGTTCACAACCACAGTGTACTTGCTAAAGATGTGTATTTTGTTTCAACAGCTTATCATTGCAAGTGTGTAGACCCTTGGCTAACTAAAACCAAAAAAACCTGTCCAGTCTGCAAGCAAAAAGTCGTTTCTTCTGAAGGTGATTCAGACTCTGACACAGAGAGCAGTCAAGAAGAAAACGAGGTGTCAGAGCATACCCCTTTACTCAGACCTTTAGCTTCTGTCAGCACTCAGTCATTTGGGGCTCTGTCGGAATCCCGCTCACATCAAAACATAACAGAATCTTCAGACTATGAGGAAGATGACAATGAAGATACTGATAGTAGTGATGCAGAAAATGAAATTAACGAACATAGTGTTGTGGTCCAGCTGCAGTCTAATGAACGGGATTACAACATAGCAAATACGGTTTGACCCAATCAGAGGATGATTGGGTTATTTCCCTTTGAAATGTTTATTTAGGTATATAATTTGATTTTTTTGCTCCCTTCACAGATTTCTGTAGAAATAGCTAATTTTTTAGTATTCTACAGTTTAATCTTACTGAAAGTTGTTCTTTTTTTAACCTAGTATTTATCTGCAGGAATATACTTCATTTTACTAACAAGTAACAACAGACTGGTACTGTAACTCAAGCATCAAATCAACTTGTATTTTGGAATGAAATATAACCAAAACATGAAAAAAAAAATTCTCAGTATAGCTTGCAATTAAGATCTAAATCACAGTATGCAAATTTTGTGCTTTGCACACAAGGTCAGTGCTGTGGCCACCTAGTATTAGCTAAGCCAGCTCCTATCTCCATAAAGTTACCTAAAGTTGTTGAGTCGGAATGTTTGTTCTGGTATTACCCCCAATTGCCATCATTAGGGAGAGGCAACAAGGCAATTTGGCATTTTTCCTCCCATTGATATAAAAACTCAGTTAATTTTTTCCTTTCTCTTCCCATGTAGTCTTATTCTGAAAGAAACAGTCTATACTGGTGCAGATTTCAAGTTTTAAGGTTTTTAATACTATATAGTGTTACATATGAATTTGATTCATCAGCTAAAGTAATATGTCACTGGACTTAACTTATGAATTTCATATCCTTAAGGGTTTTATGTTGTGATTGAAGCAAAAAGGAAATGTACAAAAATACCAAACTTCAGCAACTGTTAATATGCAGATCATATACCTCTCAATAAAGAGCATCTATGCTGATTAGTCCTGCTAAGCTATGTATAGAGGAAATTGATCAAGTATTGGATTTGAAAATAATTGCTTATGTTTAACAGAATGAATGTAAACAATTTATTATGAAAAGCTAAATTATACTTCACTGTAACTACATAGAAAATATAGACATATATAATCAAAATGCTAAGAACTTTTATATAGCCTTGTATGAAGGGGGTTTGAATGTTAATAAACACATTTTCCACTTTAAGAACTTTATTTGTGTACTGTAATATTACCTACATTAGCCTCATTTTTATATACAGTGCTATAAAGGTATAATGAATACGGTAATTTAGATCTGATAAACACACCTTAGAATTTTATACAAGGTAACTAACTAAAGCAGTTAGGTAATTCCCCCCAAAATAACTGCTGTCAAAATCATTCCAACAACTGGACATTTTGGTACTCTGTTGTAATTATGGTATAACCTTACAGTAGACTGCTACACAGCCCCAAAAGGATAAATTATCTTTTTTTTTTTAAGAATAAATTATCCTGATACATCTTCATGGACATGGGAAATTGTTAGTGAACAAAGCACATTAGAAAATAATAACTATACAAGGTACATGAGCCTTTGCTATAAAAAGAAAAATAACACATTTTAAAATAAAACACTTTTGAGGGAATTTCACTTTCTGAATAGAAAAATTCTTATAATTAAAAAAAATATTCCTGCTTATGCAAAGAAAAGCTTGAATTACCTCCTTTTTATTTTTTTATTTATATATATTTTTAAATATATTTTATTGATTTTGTACAGAGAGGAAGGGAGAGAGACAGAGAGTTAGAAACATCGATGAGAGTCATCAATCAGCTGCCTCTTGCACACCCCATACTGGGGGTATGCCCGCAACCAAGGTACATGCCCTTGACCGGAATCGAACCCGGGACTTTTCAGTCCCCAAGCCAATGCTCTATCCATTGAGCCAAACCGGTTTTGGCAGAATTACCTCCTTTTTAAATAATAAAACACAGGCATGAGAAATAGAACATTAGTTTACTAGGATAGCAGAGCTTTGGAATTTGGTCATTTGAATAATTTCATTTAACCGAAGGTAGGGTGTAAGGATAAAACATTGAATTCCGTCTTTGGCACATAAACACACAATAAATAATAGCTTTATAGTTATTAAATACTTTTTTTTTTTTTTTAAACGGGAAAAGTTAAGTGTATTAGATACTGTTTTCTCTCAGTTCTTAATCTACAGTCCAGATCAAAGGACCTAGTTCCTTTAAATTTAAGTTAGGAGATTTTCTAAGGTAAAAATTACTTTTTTTAAATACTCCAAACTTACTTTTGGTTATAAAATCTATTAAGTGTCTTAATTAAATTACTAGTTTTAATATGCACTTTAAAGCTTTTATTATGTCTTCATAGTATACACATTTTTTTAAATAGAACACTAAATAAAAATCCAATTTCTGTTCAATACCTTCTCAAAATTTTTTCTGATTACAAAAGGATATTCACCTGAAAACATACCCGAGACAAATTGGATATTCAGAAATACTTATGTAAAATAAATCTATATTATATTCTGTACGTACTTATACTGTAACATGTTTATATTCTCATTATTAACATTCATTGGTGAGCATTTTCTTGTGTCATTGTTCAATGACTGGCTTATCCTCTGGACAGTCATTTATATAGACCATATCCCTGAAAGTTAAATTGTATAGATTTCCAGGTTCAGCACTATACTAGTAAGTAATGCTATGTGATGGATATTCTGGCATATCAATTTATATAGCTCCATTTCCTTAGGTTAAATTTCTACAACTAAGTACAAAGCAAAGATACACACACATTTTCAGAAGTGTTTTTCTAATGAAATTGTGCATAGGAGGCCAATATTTAGTTTCATTATTTACTTTTTTAATGATACAGATGCCCACTACTGTCTTCTCCTCACCTACACATCCCCCCAACACACACACCCTCACCTAACTTACAGGTTCATTCATTAAGCGTTTCACAATTGCTCTTTCTAATCACCCCAATTCTTTACAACTCAAATGTGAATGTATATTACCATAAAATATCAAATCATTGCAACCCAATCACAAAATTTTCATTTGACCCACCTTTTGTTCCTAACGGAGATCTTAATGGGTCAGGAAGTTTAGGTTTTTGTTTTTGTTTTACAATTTCTAAGGTATGCCCACCCAACTACCAAAGTAGGCCCAAATCCCTATCTTCTAAACTTGTAATCTGAGTGCACAATCAAATTCAGAACTCTTGCTTGACAACACTTCAAAGAAAAAACTTAAATTATACACAGTATATTCAAATAAGGCAGAGATTAATTCTTCTTTACTAAGCCAGTTTCTCAAAAGGTAGCACACAGGCCACTTGAAGTGATTCAGATTGACCTGGCAATTGTTTCTAAAGGATCTTCTAGGGTTTATGCATAATCTCCATCTACAGAGTAGAACTCTAGTGCCCAAAATCGGCATTATAACCAGCTCCCAGTTCCACTTAGACTAAGGTGACCAGACGTCCCGATTTTTAACAATTTGTCCAGCATCCCGCAGTGTTCTAAAAAACTCCCGATTTTTGGAAAGAAAGATTCCAAAAAAAAATCGGGACTTTTTAAAAAAGCTGCTGGACAAATTGTTAAAAAGCGAGACGTCTGGTCACCTTAACTTAAACTCACCAACTTTTGAACCTGCTCTGAGCTTCTGTTTGATAGTTCATAGCGATGATTTATCTAAATAGCATTAAACTAACATATTTAATAAACTTCAATATATCTCAGAGACCTTCTGACCTCTGGGATTAAACATGACTTATATAGCTATAGTGAACATGTCAAACCAAAGCCAGAAATGTCAGGAACATCCCAATTATTTTATAAGCTGCCTAACGAATGTCTTCTCTTATGTGAGAGATCTATTGGGCTCACTGCAGTCTACTGACACAGCCTCCAAACCTAAAGAAGTCTTATAACAGCTCAACACAGAAGAATTCACAATACAGAAGAATCCACAATGCAGAAACCCTTCTTGGAACTAGTGTCCTTACTGCTCACTAGATTTCCCATTTAGAGACCATCAACCAAAGAAAAGTATTAATTTCTAGTGGATACATTAATTTTTTTTCTCATAAGCCTGAAGATAAGCCTGAGATAACGAAAACCGTTTTAATAGGTCAAAGACCATTAAAAATAAATTCCTGGTACCCATTTTATTTAATTTATAATAAATACTACAGGAAGTGGAATCAACTGAATCTTTAAAAAAGATTATATGCTTATAGCATCTTTTGACCTATCAGGTATATTACCATTGTATCAAAAATCAAATGTAACAGTAAGCCAACAATTTATATAAACAACATGAGTCTAGAGTATTTGGTTGGAATAAATTTATTTCATCTGTCTGTAAACAAGGTGTTTAATAGTTATGGCATTTTTTAAAATGCATATTAAATCAGATGAGTTAGACTGTATCCCAGATGTAACAAAGTGCAGGGAAAGAAATGGACAAATCAGCAACAAGATTTGTTATTAAATCTGTACATTATCCACAAGGCCCAAACAAAGAAGCAAATACTAGAATGTCCCTAAAGTAGTGCCATTCAAAAGAAACCTTTTATAGGTCAGTTAAAATCCATCTCACAATAGCAACAGTTCATTTTAACAATAGTATGGCACAGAATACATTTGAAAAAAATTCATCACAAGACAGCCAAGTCCACAATAATGCAACTTCATATAAAAATTTAAGCTGCAAATAAAAATTGGTCCTATGAAGAACAAACTGGACACACTCCAGATGGTTATGCTGGAACACCTAATGTCCATAATGGCAGCCTTTTACAATTTTACTAAAGAATAGAGCTGGTATGCAAAGAGAAAGATAAGAACAAAAATCTGAGCTATTGCAATGATGGAATATCCCTGGGGATTCAATCAGTATGTTTATTGTGAGGTCATGGGAGGAAGTGCCTTTTGCTCTTGTTTTGCAGTTGCACTCTTAGTATGTCCTGTAGACACTATGAAAAAAGTTTGTCTACTCTGGTGCAACAACAATACTGAAAGCAAACTACTGCAGCTCTCAATAGTTCATCAACAAACGGGATTACTAATTGGTTAAATAAACCAGGCACTGCATAAAATAAGATGGAAGCAAACCAAACAACTTATGTGCAAAGGGAGAGGGTGAAAAAAGACGAGTGAAGGAAAGATGCATGCATACTTTTCCCTCCCAACCATGCGCTACAAAAGGAAGACTAAATGAGCTAAGTAAATGCTCAAAGTGCTGAAAAGACATTGATCAAAATAGAGATTGTACACTGGCACCTTGCTTATATTATCTTATTTTAGTAATCAATATTCCATTAACTGCTAAAACAAAGTGATGCCCAACTTGGCATGCCCCCTCCCCCCAAATTTCAAGGTATCATGCAAATCATTGTTGTGCTGCAATTATGTTGCCAGGTAAGGGTTGATTACATACAGTGGTTAACATACAAATAATCCATTGGGCAAATAGGAATCATGACATTAGAAAATAGGTAAATAAAAATTAGCTACCATATAGTCTGGCAGCACTGTAACCATAATTGGGGTGGTGATGAAGACAGTTGCTAGGTAGATGGGGAGAGGCTGCTTACACATCAGACCGCCTCAGGTATAAAGCGAGTTCATATGCTTTCTTGTTAAGTGTGCCTCCGTGGACACCTTCCTTTCCCATGACTATAACCAATGCTGGAGTACACAAGGAAACAAAACAAAGTGAACAGAATTATTTAAGGGGGGAGGGCAGAAAGAAAGATACCTTTCCCCACTAACAGAGGGATACAAAGGAGACCAAGGTTCATACCCCATCACCCTGCATTGCTAATAAAATTTCCAGAATTAAGACTCGAGCTTACAGCTAGGAAAGTTTAAGAGCAATTTTCCCCTAATACTTAACAGTCTGCCTAGCAGCTAGAACCCAGAGTCTCTCAAGTATTTTGCCATTGAGTATGCCTTCTTATTCAATCCGCCTCCATGGACCCCTTCTTTTCCCATTACAAAGACCAAGACTGAAAGAGAAAGAAGAAAAGTGTTTCAAAAGAAGTGTTAATCAAGAAAGTCACATAAGTTTTAGCAGACAGAACCCTACTTAATAAGTTAACATTAAGTTAGTTTTCCATGAACTGTCAAGCACTGAAGTCACCTAGATCTCCAAAAAGGAGAACTTTCAAACTAGTTATATGCTAAAAACTATTAACTGCTTTTTGGAAGTCCAATCAATGCAGCTGCAGGGCTCTGTAAAAATAACTTCACACTAGCTAGGGAAAAAAGGAGTGTGATCATTTATCTTCCCTTCTAGGGCAAAAAACTGCTGGTTATATGACAAATACATTAGACTGGCCTTAAAAAAAAAAAAAAAAAAAAAAAACTTGGAAAAAAATTTGGGTGATTATTTTACAAAATTTTCCCAATTTAACAAGCTTGATTTAAGTACAAACTATTAACTCTTACCAGTGAGGTTAAATGTGTTTATTACCTCCAAAGGAAAACCAGACCAAATTTTAAATAGTATTTCCAATGCTATTCAGAAAAGGCAAAATTAAAGGTATTTAAGGTGTATGCTTACTGATATCCTCACTGTTCTAGCTTTGTTTTTGAGTCTAAAATCTTGAAATAGGTTACTATTTCCAACAACAGATTCTTCTATGATAAGGTTCAAAGATTTTAATTCCCAAAATATATGTCTGATTTTACAATCACAGCCACTAGATGTCAGCAGTACTACACGGTATGAAAATCTCATTCCAGTTTTATGTCACATGGTTGATGCTTTTTAAGTTATCTGAGTTCAGCTAAAACTGAAAAAAAAAAAGTATTATTATTTCAGTTACCTAATTTTCTTCCTTTTTATATATTTTTATTGACTTATTTCAGAGAGGAAGGGAGAAAAGACAGAAACATCAATGATGAGAAAGAATCACTTATTGGCTTCCTCCTGCACACCCTCTACTAGGGATTGAGCCTACAACCTGGGCATGTGCCCTCCATGAGAATCGAACCCGGGAACCTTCAGTCCGCAGGCCAACGCTCTATCCAACTAAGCCAAACTGGCTAGGATCACCTAATTTTTTTATAGAGCAATAATCATAAACATCAACTCACATCAGAATAAGAGTAACCGTTAGGGTGATCACAGGGAGAAGGACCATTTCAGTAAATTACAGCTCAGAGGAGTTTCAAGTTCCTGCACACGGTGGATCTTTGGTCTTAGAAGTGGCAAGTTTGCTGTATAAGACTACACAAGCCCTCTTTATTTACAAAATATTTGCACAGGTCAATACATTTAAATACACTTGTAAATCAGTCAGATGCCATAATAAACTCCAATTTTGAAAGTTTTGAAAAAGTAGACAGACATATTTTCTCCAGTGTTGACAATAGTCAGGAAACACCAGAATTTTTGGGTCAAATATATAAACAAAATATAATTTTCTACTTCTCCTATTTAAATCACAATCTCATTTAGTCTTTGAAAACATTTTAGTAAAGGGTCAACTTAATCCAAAGCCTTTAATTATTTCTTTCTTCCCTGCCATGTTTTTAATAGAAAAATGAATCAATGTTAATTTTTCATTTTTATACTGAGAATGAATGATTGAAATGTGATCAAGAAAAAAAGGAAGTGATCCAAAGGTCAAAGACTCAAAGGGACGAAAGTAACCAATCACTTTAGCAATCTGGTTACAGATTATCATTGAACATGTCAAACAGTTTGAGACAAATTTGGATTTTCAGTTTACTAAAGATGAAACTGGAGAGTTGGTATGAACATTCTATTTTAGAATAAAGTCAGGATCTCAGAGGCTAGACTGTATGTGCAGCTGCTATAAAGTAAGTAAATTTAAAGCAGTGCCTCCCTTCAGTGCTGAGCAGTTCACAAAAACCACCTTAATAGCCATTATGGACTAACTCTTTTATTCAAATGTTAAAGAAACTGTTTAATAAACTCTAATGTGGCATGCAACTTTTAACAAAAGAGTGCCTTGCTTACCTCTGCCAGCTCTGCCCACTGCAACGTTGTATGTTGGCTCCCCACCTTGACTCTTTGTCCGGATGTCCATTGTGCAGTCACCATCCACATACAGACTGTCTCTGATCACTGAGCACTTCTTTGCACCAAGAGTCAAACCGTTGGTAAAGAAACCTTCCCGATCTTTTCCTACAATCATATCTATTTCTACTGGCTGTCCCCCACCCACCCCGCAAAAAAAAAAAAAAAAAAAAAAAAAAAAAAAAAAAACAGAAAAAGAAAAAGAAAAAGAAAAAATACACATGAAATTAGTTAATTCTTTTCAGGCCTCAATAAAACAAGAAAGACTGTGTGCCAAATTTTTACTATCAGTACAAGACATCCACATTTCACTAATATAAAATCAAGTTTTAGTCTTTTCTAAAGAATAGCTTAATGCCACATGACTATATGTTTTATATTAGATTTTCCCAGTTCACAGTGTAGCATGCTAACTAAAGACCAGTCTATGAAAAGAATCTTGATTCACCCTATAAACTTTCAGCAACAGCTTGTCTATCATACTCAGTCACATTACAGTCAGTCATGTTGCATCAAATTTAAGGTTGCTTGAAAGTTTCCTGAAATAAAACCTAAAGTCCATGCTTAATAGCAGATCTGTTCACTTCAAATAGCTTGACATCTCCCACAAGTACGAACTTCAAACCCTGAAGCTCAGTGCATTCCCAAATTCACATTTCCCTCCTATTTTTCTAGCTACTACTCTTTCTAACTTCCCTTCCCCTCCCACCTCAGTAATCAGTTTTTATTCCGGCAAATGCAAAAAAAAAAAAAAAATTCTGTCGGTAGCACAGCAGTAAGCAATGGTAAACACACACACACACACACACACACACGCACGCACCCTACAGAAAACGGAGAGGGATTTGGAAAGAAACTGAGGTAGTCACTAGAACCAGAAAGGAGGAAAGGAGGAAACATGCACGCTAACATTCCATGAATAAGGAAGGCGTCGCCCCCATCAGAACTGCAGAGTCATAGCAGGCCCCAGCCATTTCCAAGCACACTCCTGCAATCTTCCCAGTCAGGCAGCGGTAACTCACACAAAAAATCAAAAAGACTGCAGAAAAAGTTGATCACCAGATGCCAATTCTCTGTAAGAATTGTAGTCCACTGCAATGGGTGAACTTAAAGTACTAGCATCAAGGACTGAGTTCTAAATGACAAGTCTGAAACCATGTTAACTAGTATGAGAATAATTACTAGCACCTTTAACAGGGGGCAGGAATTTTAGCGTTTGATGGGAAGGGAGAGTGAGGCCAAGAAACTAAGGGCATGGTCTCACTGATATGATAGTCACAATTTTAGAAAGAGCCTTGTGCAGAGGGAGGCGAAACAATAAAAAAGCAGCACTGGAGGCTTAGTGACAGTTATTCCGGACACATGTGTCAACCAAGTCAAAACCATCAAGTCACCAAAACAGGCACTGTGAAGCATAAATCTGCATTAGTTCCTCACTACCATTACGAAAGAGACTTGGAGATCTGACGTGTCCCCTTGGTGTTGGCAGATTACTGAAAACCCCGTTAAAGCATCCCCCTTTTTAGGGCTGTGTTGCATAATTGGGAATAAAGGTAAATCGATGACTCTCCATAGGAGGAGAGAAATCAATGGCAGTTCGCCATCTTGGAGAATTAAAAAAAAAAAAAAATCCTATAGAGCCGGTGCTGAAGTCGGGATTCACGAATCCACCTACGTCGTCGGTGTACATGTCTCCCAATCCCAGAGGCCTGGACACCCGCAAACCTACGCAAAGTCGCCGCGAGGATCCCGGGGGCCCCGCAGCCGCCGCCTCCCACATCCCGCGGCGCGGGGCGCGCGGTCCGCGGAGCCAGGGGGCCGCCCGGATGGCCCCGCCCGGCCCGGCTCCCACCCGGGACACACGGAGCCAGCCTCCCGCTCCCAGGTTCCCGGGGGCGCACAAGGGGGACGGCGCCCCTCCGGGCCCAGCTGGTGCGGCCCCTCCCCCAGCTTCACCGGACCCGCGCCGGGAAGCGGGGAGCCGGGCCGCCGCCCCCGCCAGACGCCGAAACCCGTTAGTCCCCGACCTCGGCCTCCGCCAGCCCGGCGGCCGCTCCTGGGCGCCGGCGCCTCCACACCTGCCGGCGCGGCCTGCGCGCCCCCTCGGCCGCCCGCCCGCCCGCTCAGTCCGGGGCGGACCCGCGCCGCCGCTGGTCCTCACCGTAATGCTCTGGAAGACGCCCCCGGCCGTGGCTGCCCACACGTATTTGGCGTCGCAGTAGCCGACAATGGCGGCCTCCTGGCAGCAGCCATCGCACATCAGGTTATCCACGTAGCTCTGCCAACCGGCCATCTTCGAGCCCTTCGCACTGCAGCGGGGACGGCGAGGAGCAGCAGGCGCAGCGGCAGCGGCGGCGGCGGCGGCGGCGGCGGGCGCGGGGGGAGGGGGAGGCGGGGCGGGGGCGGAAGGAGGCGGCTCTGCGCAGGCACCGACCGCCCCCCTCCCCGGGAACTGCGGTGGGAGGTCGCGGGGACGGCGGCGAGGGGCCGGGCGAGAAGCGGGCCGCCGGTGCCGCCCGCACCGCGGGGTGACTAACCGGCGCCGGGAGGCTGAGAGCGGCTGTACCGGGGGCGGCGACTGGTCCTCACCGCGGCGCGCCCCTTCCCCGCGGCCACGGAGGGACGTGCGCGCGTGCGTGCGATCCTTCCGCCGCGCCCCGATCGGAGGGTCCCGCGAAGGGAGAGGGAGACCGAGGCGGGGGCGCGGAGGGATACCGCTCGGGGACAATCACGGCCGCCACGTGCCGGTGGCGAGGGACCGGCGCGGCGCGGCGCTGGGGGCTCGGCCTCGGGCCCGGGCCGCGGAGACGGCGTCTTCCCCGTCGCGTTGGGCGCCTAGGAGACGGCGCCCGGGACGCCACGGAGTCCCGCGGCCGCGCTGTGATGCGCCTCCTGCGCCCGGTGTGCGGGAAGCGGAGTGTTGAGCCTCGGTGTCGGGTTGCAGGTTGTCCTGGTGACGGGATGCGGAGCGGTTACCGTGTGTGTGTGTGTGTGTGTGTGTGTGTGTGTGTGTGTGTGTGTGTGTGTGTGTGTGTGTAGGGGGGCTGGTGACTCTGTGTGTGTGTGTGTGTGTGTGTAGGGGGGGCTGGTGACTCTGTGTGTGTGTGTGTGTGTGTGTGGGTGTGTGTAGGGGGGCTGGTGACTCTGTGTGTGTGTGTGTGTGTGTGTGTGTGTGTGTGTGTGTGTGTGTAGGGGGGCTGGTGACTCTGTGTGTGTGTGTGTGTGTGTAGGGGGGCTGGTGACTGTGTGTGTGTGTGTGTGTGTGTGTGTGTGTAGGGGGGCTGGTGACTCTGTGTGTGTGTGTGTGTGTGTGTGTGTAGGGGGGGCTGGTGACTCTGTGTGTGTGTGTGTGTGTGTGTGTAGGGGGGGGCTGGTGACTGTGTGTGTGTGTGTGTGTGTGTAGGGGGGGCTGGTGACTCTGTGTGTGTGTGTGTGTGTGTGTGTGTGTGTGTAGGGGGGGCTGGTGACTGTGTGTGTGTGTGTGTAGGGGGGGCTGGTGACAGTGTGTGTGTGTGTGTGTGTGTAGGGGGGCTGGTGACTCTGTGTGTGTGTGTGTGTGTGTGTGTGTGTGTGTGTGTGTAGGGGGGGGCTGGTGACTGTGTGTGTGTGTGTGTGTGTGTGTGTGTGTGTGTAGGGAGTGCTGGTGACAGTCGCCCACGGTCACCTCAGCATCCGCGGGGACTCCCGCCCGGCCCCTCGGCCCGCAGCCTGCAGTCAGAGCCGGCGTGGGTGGCCGGTGGGAACATCCCCGGGTTTGGTGGATCTTCCATTGTTCCTCGCATTCTGCGCATTCTTTGACTGGAAAACTCCCTTCCCCCTGAATAATGCTTATCACGTGTGGCTACACTGCTTGTAAATTCCGAACAAATCGCGACCTATGTAAACTATTTTTTTGTTAATTGGGAAAGTTATTGGTGGGTCGAAGAAATCGCTGAAAATAAAAAAATTTAAAAAACTAAGGAAGGGGTCACAGAACGAACACAGTAATATATATATATTATTCTCTCGAAGGGTAAAACAATTTTGGGACCCAACCCTGAAAATGACTATTTTTTTCTTTTTAAATTTACAAGGTAAATGGTGGGTAGAACCCCTGTGAATGTCGCATCATTTCTAGTCACTTCTGAGGGCTATGACTAGACAAGGAATTGAAGCGATGGCCTACAGTTTCAATTTTAAGTGAACAACAGTGATCTGCCTATCAAGAGAAGGAAGAAGAGCATTTAAAACGTCGAAAAGCTGATTTTCAATTTTAAAGTTATGGGGTAAAGTCACAATGTGTGACCAGATTACACTGAGGTAGCTCAGGAAAGAAGAAAAAACGTTGCTAAGCAATCTAATGATTCTGAAGTCTCATATTTTTTTCTGCTGTATGCTTTGAAATGTGGGGGGGTTAGGGGGGTGGGGAACGGAGACACACAATAGACCCACCTCACCTCCAAATCAGGAACCTGTCAGATTGGCACCTGGATGTTCAGATGATTTGGTATAAAAAGTGTGCCCAAAACTTTCATCTTTGCAAGTGTGCATCCTACCTGATTTAGTTTTTTACTCATTCCTTGCTTTTCTACCTTTTTGTAGTTATTGATGGCTTTAATCCTTCAATTTTAGCAATTTGTTACCTTAAAAGTTTATATTACAGTGTGCTGATGACATGGATATTGTCATTTTGTGAGATTTGATCAAGCTGTACAGTTATGGTTTGTGTTTTTGGTATTCGTGTTATAATTCAATAAATTCAAATAGTAAACACTGATAATGAAGGGAAAGAAGATAATAAAATGATAGTTTAAAAATATATATACTGAGCCGTGGCCGGATGCTCCGTGGTTATAGCATTGGCCTGGGGACTGAAGAATCCGGGGTTACCTTCTTGTCAGAAGCATGTATTTGGATTGCAGGTTCATCTCTCCATCCCCCAACTCCCTACATGTGTCTTTCTCAGGAGCAAGTTGCTCTCTCCCTCCCTCCCTTCTACTCTCTAAAAGTCAATGGGGAAAATATCTCAGTTGAGGATTAAAATAATAAGAGACCATTTAAAAAAATAAAATTATATATATATATATATATATATATATATAAAATTTTATTTTTTTAAATATATATATTGAGCCCTAACAAGTTTGCTCAGTGGATAGAGCATCAACCTGCACAGATTGAAGGGTCCTGGGTTTGATTCCAGTCAAGGGCATGTACCCTGCTTATGGGCACATCCCCAGTGGGGGTGGGTGCAGGAGGCAGCTGGTCGATGTTTCTCATCAATGTTTCTGGCTCTCTGTCCCTCTCCCATCCTCTCTGTAAAAAATCAATTTCATATATATATATATATATATATATTGAGTTTTATTTATTAATCTCAGACTATTATCTTATGTCAAAGAGTTAGAAATAATTGAATTTCATTCTTGTTCTTTTATTGTCTTTCAACAGAAAAGGATTAGACCAGCTGAATATTCTAGATGTTCAAATCTCAAAAGATTCTAAAACACATATATTCTGCCCAACTGGTTTGGCTCAGTGGATAGAGCTTCGGCCTGCGGATTCAAGGGTCCCCGGTTTGATTCCGGTCAAGGCATGTACCTTGTTACGGGCACATCCCCAGAAAGGGATGTGCAGAGGCAGCTGGTCGATGTTTTTCTCTCATCCATGTTTCTAACACTATCCTTCTCCCTTCCTCTCTGTAAAAAAAATCAATGGAATATATTTAAAAAAATAAAATAAAACATCTATTGGGGAAAAAGATCCATAAGAATTTAGAATTTCTATAATTTTTCTACATTTTTCACCAAAATGTAAGATCACATTCTAAAATTACTGTAATACTTTTCCAACAGTGTTTTATTTTCCCAGAACTGTATATAGTAAAAGTTAAACAACTATGAAAAATATATTCGGTATAGTAGACTGACTAGGTTTTACAGTTTATATTTTAGATGATACATTCAAACAGTCTCTGATAAAGTAATCCTGTGCCTATATTCGTTGGAACCTACTTCTTAACATGTTGCCTTATTTTTTATTTGTATACAAATATCTGTTCTTTTTTCAAACAATTATTGCTTATCACAACATGTTTCAAAAGGTTTAGAGATAAAACACCAAGTTTTAGGAATTGCAATAAAAATTAAATTCAAGGGAGTATTAATGTGAGAAGCAAGCATTACCAATTTGTATCTTTCTCATTTATTTTATTTTAAAAAATACATTTTATATTGAATTTTTTACAGAGAGGAAGGGAGAAGGATAGAGTAAGAAATATCCGTGAGAGAGAAGCATCAACCAGCTGCCTCCTGCACGCCCCCAGAATTGAACCTGGGACCCTTCAGTCTATAGGCCAATGCTTTATCCACTGAGCCAAACCAGTTGGGGCATCTTTCTCACTTCTTTTAAAGTGATAATAGCAATGGCTGGTGGAGCAGATATAGTTACCAGAATGATGTAACCTTTAACAATCAGTAATATGCTAGGAACATATTTAAACTTGGGTTGCATTATTGTGCATTCTGTTCAAAATTTTTATTCTTATTTGTTATTTGTGAAATTTTATTCTTATTTGTGAAAACAAAAGCTATGAGGTTAATCAGATTCTTTAATGTATATAATGTATCAGTCAAAGATGCTTGAGCCATTTAAGTTCAAGAGTAAATCATTGACATTTTAGTAAAATATAAAGAAACAAGAAGTTAACTTGTTAAAATGTATTCAAATTGATAAACATTGGGACAGGAACTAAACTATTGTATATAATTACCCCAAATATATTAAATCCATAATTAACTAAGCCCTCAACTAACGACACTTTTCACCTCCAGGCTTGATTTTTGAAAAAAAATTATTATAAAAATTTTCACATCAAGAAAAAGTATAGAAATGGAGAAAAGTTACCATTAATCCCATAAGCAATACAAATTTTATTTTGTGAATGTATTGCCTCACATTTTTCCTTTTTTTTTTTTCTTTGTTAATCTTCACCCAAGCATATATTTCCATTGTTTTTAGGGAGAGTGGAAGGGAGGGGGAAGAGAGAGAGAAACATTGATGTGAAAGAGAAACATTGATTGATTGCCTCCCACATGGTCCCTACCAGAGATGGAGCTTGCAACCAAGGTACGGGCCCTTGACCAGAATCAAACCCAGGACCCTTCAGTCCATGGGCCAATGCTATGTCCACTGAGCCAAACTGCCTAGGGCTTTTTCTTCTTTTTCAATTACAGTTGACATACATTATTATATTAATTTCAGGTGTATACCCCAGTGGTTAGACATTACATAACTTATTAAGTGATCATCCCA